GATGGGACCAAACTCCCTTTGTGATTTTAAAACGTAAGACAGTACGCAGATTTGAAGACTACTGTAAGATTTAACTTCTACTGTTAATAAGATATTGGTAGGGATAGCCTAAATGTCCTTTTTTATTTTTATGGTATATCAAAAAGTGTATATTTTTTAAATGTGATTGTTGGTACATTTGACCAGTTTTTACCATACTTTCAAAACAAAAATTAAAATAGGAAAAATATGCAATATGAAAATAATTGAAGACAAAATGTGTTTACTGAGAAAAAACAAGATTTGTTTTTTAAAAAGCCTTTTTGCAAAAGGTACATCTGGAAAAAGGGGGGTCGTCTTATAATCAGGGTCGTCTTATATTCGGGCCAATACGGTAATTAGAATTAAAACTATGTAACCATGAACTTAGGACTGGTGCTGGTGCTTTTTTTGGTCATTCAGTGTTCCTGTAAAAAAAAAAGACCAATAATACTGATAAGATATTGTAACTATTATTATTATACTAATTCTACTAATAAGAACAATATAAAAACCCACTAAGGATTAATGAGCTACTGGATTCATGAATATTAATCAGGTTGTGTGCGTTTGCTCGAACGGATTCGCTGAAATCAAAACAAGGACGATAATAGGTGAGCACCAGTCAATGAGATTGTCGTTTGCGCATTAGTTCCGCCTACTACAGGAAAACCCGGCAGTTCTTAAAAGCTGAAGAATTCCAAAGGAACTCCGTTATTTCTACAGGAAAATACAACAAAGAATATCGTTTACATGTAGCGCATCAATTCTGCATGTTATGTAAGACTCTCGCTCGCTATCGCTCTTTGCGTGTGTGAGAGAAAGCGACGGCGAGTCGTGCGTCTTCACACTAGAGTTTACGTTATGCCAAATACACAAACACAGGTATGCTGCGCATCCATTCAAATGAAAACAGGGACGATAATAGGTGAGCACCAGCCAATGAGATTGTCGTTTGCGCATTAGTTCCGCCTACTACAGGAAAACCCGGCAGTTCTTAAAAGCTGAAGAATTCCAAAGGAACTCCGTTATTTCTACAGGAAAATACAACAAAGAATATCGTTTACATGTAGCGCATCAATTCTGCATGTTATGTAAGACTCTCGCTCGCTATCGCTCTTTGCGTGTGTGAGAGAAAGCGACGGCGAGTCGTGCGTCTTCACACTAGAGTTTACGTTATGCCAAATACACAAACACAGGTATGCTGCGCATCCATTCAAATGAACTGA